TACAGTTCACCCAGAAGCACACTGCCCAGGCTAATTAAAGACCCAAAACATCATCATAAGTTTCACTACCCCATGTGCAGGTTCTATGCGTAATGGATTATCATAAACAGTGGAACCTTGATACTCGAACAGCTCCCTAATCGAACAAAGCTCGGCACTCGACCAAACAAACACAACTTCACTATAAACTATTTTGTGTTTCTTTGCATTTTTTGGTGTTTTTTTATATTATTTGTATAAATAAGTCACCATGGGGCTTACAAATATTAGTGATAAGAACCAACCAAAAAGAAAATTGACTGGGAAAAATTCGTTCGGTACTTGAACAGATCGGCGCTCGAACAGCCTTCTGGAATTAATTAAGTTTGAGTACCAAGGTTCCACTGTATGTGTATGATTCATGAAATCATGATAAAACGATTGTAAACAAACCATGGCGAGTGACTTATTCACTGGCCTGGAGTTTTAGGACCTGCTTGTCATGGGTTTAAACCTCACCAGTGCTGTGGCTTGTGTGTGTGTGTGTAATCTGTGTCAGGGTTATGCCTCCATATCATATTTGCAGCTCATGCCAATATTTGCAGCTCATGCCAATACTGTAAGAATACAGAGGAGGATGGAAGAAAATTACCAGAATGAAAAAAGTTCTGGGATCAGTAAAAAGAATATTAAAAGAATACCTTAAGTGGAAGGATGATGACTGAGAAAATTGTGGAGACAAAATTCCATGCACAAATTCACCAGTGTGTCAGACGGAATGGCCCATATAAAGTCCAATGTTTGGAAGAACTGGTGGTAAACAGTGGTTGATTAAAGTAAGTCCTTGCCTTATAAACACATAATTATACATTATTATACAGGATACAGAAGGTCCCCAATGTGTTTGTAAGTTGAAGACTTCCTGTATTATGAATGTGATACACAATTCAGAAGGTCCCAGTGTGTTCATAAGTCAAGGACTTACTGTACCTCCACGAGAATAACCTCCCTAGTGGACACAACAAAACATCTTCTCAATACACCTACCATCCGACTTACGACCGAGTTCGGTTCCGAGAAACCGGTCGTAAGTCGAAATGGTCGTAAGTCGAACTTTACTACTGAATATCAACAAAACATTTTTGTAATGACTTTATTTTATTGTTTTATTTTGGTATTTCATGTTTTACTTTACTTTTTATGTTGTTAGTACTGTATTTTATACTGTAAGGTTTAGGATAAACACTGTGTACAACACAAATAGTTGTTTATTTCCCAGAAATTTTGCATAAAAAATACAGTCGTAAGTCGAGTGGTTGTAAGTCGAGCAGGTCGTAAGTCAGATGGTAGGTGCACTAACTGTAATATTTATGCTACCTCTCTTTTTGTAATAACGCATAACAAAAATTTACCACTCAATAGCCTATGTCTAGTTTTAAGTAGTGTGTAAGCATTAGTATTAGTCTGTTAGAAATGCACCGCACGCCAGTGGCTTTGTGCTTGACAATATTCTATTACATGTAAACTACACTTTGTATACTAAGCAAATAAATAAATTTTATTTAGTTTCAAATGCACACACAGTCATACATGTAGGTATATTGTACCACTGACATACATAATTAGGAGGAGATACTTTCATTATTATCATTAGTCTGCCCGAAATGCCCTGGCATGATAGTGGTTTTCCTTGTACTTATTAAACCAAAATTATAATTACACTTTCTAACCTATACAAGGAAATAAAATCTTTATCTTCTATCTTTAACCAGCTGAGAACCTAATGTCTTGCAACACACAACCGTGTCTGCGTTCAACAGTCAATTCTGAAGATACGTATATATAATGCACATTTGCTAACAACGTAATATACTGTTGTTTATTAAATATAAAATTTACCAAGGTAATTTACAAAAAAACTGACCATTGTGAAATGATCCCTCATTTACGTTGTTTGAAATAAAAATTAGTAATCACCGATATACAACAAAAGGCAATCCTTAACAGTTATATACTGTACTACATATAAAATGTTACATATCTGACAACACTCGGTTGGTGTTATCTAACCCATAATACACTACATATTTGCTAAATATATATCATGGAGAGATAAGTACTACAAGATCACATTATTATCCATAAATACAATCAATGTATTTTTGCTCTAGGGTCAAGAGAATGATGATGATGATAATGATGATGATCCCACTTTATCTACTATAATGACGTTTGTATGATGTGTATCAAAACTAGTCTCTATACATGAGATGAAGAGGGTCAGTTTACATTGCAGTTCAGACAGAACAAGATATAAGACTAAGTGAAGAACGAGACGCAAGTAAATTCAGAGATGCACAAGGGACAAACCACTATAAAAAAGGAATTAAGAATAATGGAATACGTAAAAAGAGCTGAGGTCAGCCAAATTAAACACGGAAGAAGTACAAAAGGGAAAAGAAAGGAACAGGAATAACAGTGGCACAGGGAAGAAGTAGCACAGCCGGAATTTCAATCTGGGGAAGGGGTGTTCAAGCCAAGATTGAAATTGGGGAAAGGGTGTTCAAGCCAAGATTTAAATCTGTGGGGGAGAAGGGGGGTCAAGACAGGATTTAAAACTCTGGGGGCTTGAAAATAATAAAATGCTGAAAATTGAGAAAAAAAAAAAAAATCGCCTTTAAAAACATTTGATTTTCACATGTGAAATTTCTCGAACTATCAGGATTTTGTGGTTGCTAGTCAAAGTAAAAGAGCGAAAATTAGCCATAGACCCCCAAAAAGCATTGACCTCTGAGGGGCTTAACTCCCCTTAGCCCTCCCTATATGGCTGTGCCACAGCAGGTATGAGACACAGAAAAGAGAGGTCAGCCAGGGCAAGAACCCAATACAAGACAGATTCTGAAAAAAATGAAGAGAAAACTCAATTACCGTTATCCTATATTTCTTGTTCCTCATGTAAGATACACTTGCAATCTTGGCACTCAAGTCGTATATATACAGTGGACCTCCCGCATAACGATTACCTCTGAATGCGACCAATTATGTAAGTGTATTTATGTAAGTGCGTTTGTACGTGTATGTTTTGGGGTCTGAAATGGACTAATCTACTTCACAATATTTCTTATGGGAACAAATTCGGTCAGTACTGGCACCTGAACATACTTCTGGAGTGAAAAAATATCGTTAACCGGGGGTCCACTGTGTTTTAGGAAGCTAAAAATTAAAACTTGACATATGAAGTTAAGGTATTCTGTGAATTTTGAGCTCATTCACCATTCTAAACAAGGAATAAAGAGCCACAAAATATGGCTGGGATAATTCATCAAAACTCCCTGACTTGTTAGAGGAGGATCCTTTGGTGACTTCTGTCCTTCCTCGACCACTGTCAAATGGTCCAGGACCACTGTCAAATGATCCAGGACCACTGTCAAATGATCCAGGATCACTGTCAAATGGTCCAGGACTACTGCCAAATGGTCCAGGATCACTGTCAAATGGTCCAGGACCACTGTCAAATGATCCAGGACCACTGTCAAATGATCCAGGACCACTGTCAAATGGTCCAGGACTACTGCCAAATGGTCCAGGATCACTGTCAAATGGTCCAGGATCACTGTCAAATGATCCAGGACCACTGTCAAATGATCCAGGACCACTGTCAAATGGTCCAGGACCACTGTCAAATGGTCCAGGACCACTGTCAAATGGTCCTGGAGAAACTGAATCATCAATATAACATTCCTCTCCCAAGTGCAATTTTTGGTGAATTCTAAACAATATTATAAGTTTTCTTTACATAAAAGAGAATTAAGCTCGTAAAAGTGTATGCTCACACTTTTACACTATTGTAAATGGTGTATTTGATTTGTAACACTGGTTTTACAACCAGTCAACTGAGGTCAGTGGCAAGTTATATTGCCATGTGTGGCAACACTGTCATGCTACAGTTCTTGTATTAATATAAAACGTAGAATGAAAATGTTTGTGGCACTTAGTCTGTTGTATACAGTGTTTGTGGCAGGTGGTGTGTGTGTTAGTGCTTGTGATACTGTTACAGTGTTTGTGGCAGGTGGTGTGTGTGTTAGTGCTTGTGATACTGTTACAGTGTTTGTGGCAGGTGGTGTTTGTGTTAGTGCTTGTGACACTGTTACAGTGCTTGTGGCAGGTGGTGTGTGTGTTAGTGCTTGTGATACTGTTACAGTTTTTGTGGCAGGTGGTGTGTGTGTTAGTGCTTGTGATACTGTTACAGTGTTTGTGGCAGGTGGTGTGTGTGTTAGTGCTTGTGACACTGTTACAGTGTTTGTGGCAGGTGGTGTGTGTGTTAGTGCTTGTGATACTGTTACAGTGTTTGTGGCAGGTGGTGTGTGTGTTAGTGCTTGTGATACTGTTACAGTGTTTGTGACAGGTGGTGTGTGTGTTAGTGCTAGTGATACTGTTACAGTGTTTGTGACAGGTGGTGTGTGTGTTAGTGCTTGTGATACTGTTACAGTGTTTGTGACAGGTGGTGTGTGTGTTAGTGCTAGTGATACTGTTACAGTGTTTGTGACAGGTGGTGTGTGTGTTAGTGCTGTGATACTGTTACAGTGTTTGTGACAGGTGGTGTTTGTTGTTAGTGCTTGTGACACTGTTACAGTGTTTGTGACAGGTGGTGTGTGTGTTAGTGCTTGTGATACTGTTACAGTGTTTGTGACAGGTGGTGTGTTGTGTTAGTGCTTGTGATACTGTTACAGTGTTTGTGACAGGTGGTGTGTGTGTGTTAGTGCTAGTGATACTGTTACAGTGTTTGTGACAGGTGGTGTGTGTGTGTTAGTGCTTGTAATACTGTTACAGTGTTTGTGACTGGTGTGTGTGTTAGTGCTAGTGATACTGTTACAGTGTTTGTGACAGGTGGTGTGTGTGTTAGTGCTAGTGTACTGTTACAGTGTTTGTGACAGGTGGTGTGTGTGTGTTAGTGCTATGTATACTGTTACAGTGTTTGTGACAGGTGGTGTGTGTGTGTTAGTGCTATGTGAACTGTTACAGTGTTTGTGACAGGTGGTGTGTGTGTGTTAGTGCTTGTGATACTGTTACAGTGTTTGTGGCAGGTGGTGTTTGTGTTAGTGCTAGTGATACTGTTACAGTGTTTGTGACAGGTGGTGTGTGTGTGTGTTAGTGCTTGTGACACTGTTACAGTGTTTGTGGCAGGTGGTGTGTGTGTTAGTGCTTGTGATACTGTTACAGTGTTTGTGGCAGGTGGTGTGTGTGTTAGTGCTTGTGACATTGTTACAGTGTTTGTGGCAGGTGGTGTGTGTGTTAGTGCTTGTGAATACTGTTACAGTGTTTGTGGCAGGTGGTGTTTGTGTTAGTGCTTGTGACACTGTTACAGTGTTTGTGGCAGGTGGTGTTTGTGTTAGTGCTTGTGATACTGTTACAGTGTTTGTGGCAGGTGGTGTTTGTGTTAGTGCTTGTGACATTGTTACAGTGTTTGTGGCAGGTGGTGTGTGTGTTAGTGCTAGTAATACTGTTACAGTGTTTGTGGCAGGTGGTGTTTGTGTTAGTGCTTGTGATACTGTTACAGTGTTTGTGGCAGGTGGTGTTTGTGTTAGTGCTAGTAATATTGTTACAGTGTTTGTGTTAGTGCTTGTGATACTGTTACAGTGTTTGTGGCAGGTGGTGTTTGTGTTAGCGCTAGTGATACTGTTAGTGTTTGTGACAGGTGGTGTGTGTGTTAGTGCTTGTGATACTGTTACAGTGTTTGTGGCAGGTGGTGTGTGTGTTAGTGCTAGTGGTACTGTTACAGTGTTTGTGACAGGTGGTGTTTGTGTTAGTGCTTGTGACACTGTTAGTGATTGTGGCAGGTGGTGTTTGTGTTAGTGCCTGTGACACTGTTACAGTGTTTGTGGCAGGTGGCATTTGTTGTGTTAGTGCTTGTGACACTGTTGTATACAGTGTTTGTGGCAGGTGGTGTTAGTGTTTGCAACACTTACAAGTGGAGTTTGTGACACTGTCGCATATGTATATGTGTGTTTGTATGTGTGTGCGTATGTGTGTATGTGCGTATGTGTGTATATACTGTGTGTGTGTGTGTGTGTGTGTGTGTTTCTTCACATAAGGTATGCACAACTGGCAACAAAATACACATTGAACATGTTTCAGAGTGAACATGTTTCAGAGTGAACATGTTTCAGAGTGAACATGTTTCAGAGTGAACATAAAAGAGAAACTGGCATTACAGTAAAATCTAAATTTAACAGACCTCAGGTTAATAGATTTCAGATTTAATGGACAAAACCTGTTAACCGGACAAAGTCCGGAAACAACAAAGTCCGTAAAATCCAGAATTATCCATGAGCGTTATGGTCCACTGGGTAATTTGATTCAAGATTAAATGAACAACTATTAAATCCAGAATTTTGATTTTGGATTAAATGCATGACTATTAAATCCAGAATCGTCTATTATTTTTCCTTTCATGGAAAAACTCATTCAGATATAACAGACAATGGGCATCACCCTCTCTTCCCTATTGGCCCATCAAATCGAGGTTTCACCGTCACTGCCCGGCATAAAGGTGAGCTTCTTCAAGATATATAACACTGTGTTCACAGCATAAGGACCAAGTGGAGAGTATTGCTCTCATCATGTCAAAACATTGCAGCTTTGTGACAAGAAATTAAGTCCTAGGTACACTCTCCATAAGTCTAGTTTTCCCTTATCAACTAATATACCTTTCGTAAGTGAGTATACATGAGGTTCCTAACTTATAAATGAGATGAACTCTCTGTCTCTCTTCTTTGGAAATGTGTTCCAGGTGTTGCATCTTACAAGATGTGTTCCAGGTGTTGCATCTTACAAGATGTGTTCCAGGTGTTGCATCTTACAAGATGTGTTCCAGGTGTTGCATCTTACAAGATGTGTTCCAGGTGTTGCATCTTACAAGATGTATTCCTGGTGTTGCATCTTACAAGATATGTTCCAGGTGTTGCATCTTACAAGATGTGTTCCACATGTTTCACCTTACAAGAGTTTCTTGTCAAGAAAGCCACAGTAAAATGGTTACTTTTGTTGCACACATGCTCATATTATGACTCGGAGACTGTTAAGCTTGTAACTGGTTCTCAAGTTCTCTGCTTGTAAGTGCAGAATTGTATAATCTGTGACATATATAAGTTAGGACCTCCAGCGCTTTACCACCGATCAAAACAATGGTTCACAAGCCTCGGAATCACGTCTGCTATTTTATGGAAGAAATTATCAAAACTATAACTTACCAACAAGAAAATACTTTTTTTAATAATAAATATTTTTTAGCCACTCTCTTTGTTAACAATCAATGCCTTTTTCCTTAATACTGGATCAACAATAAAATAATTTGCTAAATATGATATGTAACTTTCAAAATACATAACTCTTTAGTTTGGCATTACTGCATGTCCAGTAATAAAGAAAACAAGTCTTACGGAAATTAACTAGGACTTACAACTGCACATTCTCATCACAATTACACACACAGCCTGGCTGAAGAGTGTCACTAGAGAAGCGTATATACTTGTTGTTTTATGATTGGCAGGAAAAACACAATGAACGTTGGGCGACACCATACAAAACTGCGAGTAATTTCTAGTTTTATCTGAGGTTTGGCAAAACCCGCCGCCCTTGTGGGGTAACCCAATGCCTCGTCAGAGATGGGGGTTTTGGCAAATTATAAATGGCAAATGGTTCTTATCTATCATTTATCTATCCTGCAGTTTCTATGACTAACACGTGTGTTTTTGACTCGGTGACTTCAGGATCACAACAGCTGATGCACAGCTGTTTCTCAGCCTGTCACTCAAAGGATGACAACAACAGATTCAGTTGTTATTTAGTGTCACACACAGGATGACAATGGTAGATTCACAGCTGTTTCTCAGTATGTTGTGCATCAGAGCACAACAGCAGACATACAGCTGTTTCTCAGTGTCACCCACTGTAGCACAACAGTAGATATGCAGCTGTTTCTCAAGTGTCACCCACTGGAGTGCAACAGTAGACATGCAGCTGTTTCTCAGTGCCACCCACTGGAATACAACAGTAGACATGCAGCTGTTTCTCAGTGCCACCCATACCTCACAGTTATGATACTTTAAGGTCATTGAAACCAATGAATGAATGCCTATGGAATACAGCCTACCTTCCACTGTACTGTTAATAAGACAACAGATGGGCAAGGAGACCATACTAAGGGCCGGAAGAAAATGGTCACCGTGACCTATGGATAATTCCTTTCACAATGAAAATATTCGCAACTCATCCTTCAAGAACCCAGGGTAACCTTGGTTGTCCCCAACCCCAGAGAAAACATCTGGAGGATTTTGACTCTTAAAACCTCAAAGAATGACACAGCACCGACAATATCGTTGCCTCGACCTGCCCTCTGCAGGCTGGGGAGTCTGCGGTGCAAAGTACGCATGTACCTTGATATTCGGCAAGTGGCTCTGCAAAGGAAATATTTGCATTAATATTAAAAAACAGTAAAGATTATGGAATTATCATCATAGTGAAGAGCTGGGAGAGTCACTCCTACATAAACCCTGGTGAAGAGGGTTAGCAGGTATAAGGAAACATACCCAAGGTTTCCACTCTTACTGGGGATTGAACCCTGGACACTCAGCTAAATGCCTTGCTGATTGAGCCACAGAACAAGCAATCATAAACACAGATGAGCATAAATAACAAAGAACTGCCATCAAACGATCAAAGTGTATTCACTATAGTCTTCAGAAATACAGTAGGACCCTCGTATCCGCGGGGGATATGTTCCAAGGACGTGTTGTGGATACCAAAACCGTGGATAGTAGCAAATCCTATATGTACGTTCTATACATACCCATTATAAGATTTAACTCGTAAACGGTCCAAGCAGATCTATGTTCACATGTGTAGTGCTACAAAAGTAGATCTACGTTTTTTTTACATATTTTCAAATATAACAAAAAAAAGTAGATCAAAGTTTTTTTACACATTTTCAAATGTAAAAAAACAAAAAGAAGATCTACTTTTTTTACATACTTTCAAATGTTGAAAAAAGTATATAAACGTTTGGACCGTTTACGGGTTAATTGATAAATTATGCACAGTAAGTGGGGAATTATCACTTTTTCACTGATGGGAGGCATTTCACTGTTTGTCTTAGGCTCTGAAGAACTGCCAGCTTCTTTACTTTTGCACTTTGGGGCCATTATTATGCAAAATTAAGAGGTATTTTTGGGCCACAGTAAACTGTGGATAACTGAGACTGGATATTGAATCAGTGGATATGGGGGTTCTACTTTTTAAGGATGCTGTATATGTAAATAAAGCTGACATTTCTAACTACTGCCCAGCTTAAAGATGGCAATAATCTCAAAATCAGGCATAAAGCTTCTATATAATGCATGTACAACTATCAATACACAGGTATAAAATAACATCTTACTGAAGAAGAAAACATGTATTGCAAGAATATAAATAAATTTAAATAACATTTATCCTATTTTTTTTTTTTGAAGCACACACCTTTCCACAAGCAGGTGGCTGAAAAAGAAAAACTTTCGTATCATCGTCATCATGTCCTGCAGAGGTGTATACTAGTTATAAAACTGAACATTAACACCCTCTTCAGAATTGCAATGTTTTCAATGATGACTCACTTGGGCACCCCCTAATTTTGCAATACTCACCTGAGCAACCTTCGAGGTTTGCAATGGGATGCATTGGGTACTCTCTAGTTTTGCAATGGCGACCCCTTGGACCCCTAATTTTAGCAATCTTTCCTGAGGATACCTCCCTATTTTAATGCACTAGGACCAGTTGAGATCACTGGACCTCTGTTGCACAAACAAATCTGCTCACTAGAGCTTTTCATGACTCCCGTTCCCTTACCGATTTGTTCTAAAATGGGCCACTAATGCTTAATAGCTGTGTAGGGTGATATTCATCCATAAAGGTTTGCTTCAAACCACTGTGCACATTTTCCTTATTTTAAAGTAGCACAATGTATTCCACAACTGGTATAGGCTTCTTCAGGTTAGCCCCAAACCTTAAAACTTCTTAATTTCCATACTAATTCTCACCTTTTTACCACAGGTGGCACTAGAGCTTTCTGGCCCATGGTGACTTATTTCAGAACAACATCAACCACCAAAATGATTAACTATGGAATACATGGAATTACCAATGTATTCACCTTAATCGCGCACCTCTGGCTTTGTAAACACTGGCACACCAAGGGTAGCTCAGGCCACATGTGGACAGGTTCGTATGAATCGTATCGAATACCGGGTTTTCAATCGAAATCCGAGGAAAATTTTTGCGATATAATGCATCGAATACCGGATTTATCGAATATACCGATGCCATCAATACCAGGGGGTCACTGTAATCTCAAAATTCAGGCATAAGCTTCTATCATGCATGACAACTATCAATACACAGTATAAAATAACACACGCTTACCTAGAAGGAAGAAACATGTATTGCAAGAATTATTGCATAATTTTAAATAAACCTATAATCCCATCCCTTTTTTTAATTAACTCAGCATTTCCCCACCAAGGCAGGGTTGCAAAGAAAACTCTTGTCATCATTTCGCTTAACTCACTGTCGTAGCCAAGCGCTTTACTAGTTTAAAACTCACATTAACACCTCTCCTTCATGAATTGCAATGTTTTGCAATGATGACTCACTTGGGTACCCCCCTCTCCTAGTTTTACAATGACGACTCACTTGGGCACCTTCCATCCCTAGTTTTGCAATGATGACTCACTTGGGCACCCCCCTAGTTTTGCAATGCATCTCAGGCAATGTTTCACCGTTTCGAGCTTCATCAACCTTGACAAAGCTTGATGAAGCTTTTGCTCTGTGCAGACCTTTATCAGGCTCTACAAATAGCAAATCACTGTCCCTATCAAAGCTTGTTCCAGAACATAAGAATCTAGGAACACTGCAGCAGGCCTACTGGCCCATAACAGGCAGAGCCTTCTCAAAACCAACCATTTCCATCCACCAAATTGTTTAACCTTCTTCCCAAAGCTACCCAAGAATTTACTTCAATACTTCAGACACTAATCAAACCCAGCCCTTCCTACTCATATATCTAATTCCTTTTTAAAGCTACCCAAGGTTTTAGCTTCTATTACCCTCCTTGGGAGATTATCCCACTTGCCGATAATTCTGTTTGAAAACCAGTGCTTTCTTAAGTCCTTTCTAAATCTAAATTTATGTAATTTAAATGCATTTTTCTAGTTCATACATGATTCAGTATCTTAGGTACTTTATTTATATTGATTTTGTTTATGCCTGTCTTTCACCTATGAACTTCAATGATATTTTCCCTCATTTTACATCTCTCAAGAGAGTGAAGGTTCAATACGTACTCACGATTGATCCTTATATGAAAGGTTTCTTATGCAGTGGATTAATTTGGTCATCCTTCCTCTTCTTTACTATTGTCACCAGTACTACAAATGGAACGATCACTTGCCTTGAGTCTCTTAATTCCTGCTCGGGTAATAAGCTGGCAGTCATAAAGTTCGATGCGTTGTAGGTTATGGCAGGAGAGCAAGTGGTCTAGGGAAGCATCGGTAATGAGCGGACAGTTGTCTAACTCCAGCACAGCTAGGTGCTCCGTCGAGCATGCTGACACTCCCAGGTGGCGGATCCCTTCATCCGTTATCAGTTCACAATGAGATAAGCTCTGAAAATAGTTTTTTTTTTTAACAAGCTGGCCATCTCCCACTGAGGAAGGGTGACCCAAAAAAGAAACACTTTCACCATCATTCACACTATCACTGTCTTGCCAGAGGGGTGCAGATACGACAGTTTAGATATCACTAAACAGCAAATATCCCAAACTCCTCCTTAAAGTGCAGGTATTGTTCTTCCCACTTCCAGGACTCATGTCTGGCTAACCCTTGAGGACAGAAGACCCAGGGAAGACATGATAACTACATACAAAATACTCAGAGGAATTGATAGGGCAGAAAGAGACAGGGTGTTTGAAAGGCTGGAAATAGGTACTTGAGGCATAGCTGGATGTTAAAGACAGAGATGAGTCCCAGGGATGTCAGGAAGTATTTCTTCAGTCTCAGGGTGGTTGGGAAGTGGAATGACCCTGACAAAGAAGTGGTGGAGGCAAGCTCCATATATAGTTTTAAGAATAAGCACAATAGAGCCCCTTGAGGCTATGAAAGAGCAAGTCTGGCAACTTTAGTTACTAAATAAAGTGAACATGAACAAACATGATATGCTCAACATTTTTTTTTTCAACGAACTGGCTGTATCCCACCGAGGCAGGGTGACCTAGAAAGAAAAACGAAAGTTTCTCTTTTTAAATTTAGTAATTTATACAGGAGAAGGGGTTACTAGCCTCTTGCCACCGGCATTTTAGTTGCTTCTTACGACATGCATGACTTACGGAGGAAGAATTCTTCTCCACTTCCCCATGGAGATGTTTAACAATTACAAGTTATTAAATGAGTATAGACAACAAAAAGGCATAATACTGTGACTGGAACAATACACAAATAACCTACACATAGGAGTAAGAAGCTTATGACAATGTTTTGGTCCTGACTTGGACTGCTGATTAGTCAGTGTGACTAGTCAATGGTCCAAGTCAGACCAAAACGTCATCATAAGTTTCTTTCTGTGTGCGAGTTATTTCAGTAAATGAATATACACCCAACTTATGAATTCCTTAATGAACATAAACTTGAAAACTTACAAAATAATGAACTGAACATGAGTAAGCACACACTACTCAGCAACTTACGAGTTTTTCTAATCGAGGACATCCTGAGGCCAGGTGATTCAGGGTGGCATCAGTGATCAGCACGCAGTCCTCAAGGTCGATCTTCTCCAACATGTGACACGTCTGTCAACAAAGAATGGTGTTAGCCATGTTGTCACTGGTCGATAAGAGGAAAAAAGAAGATATGATCATATACAAGGCCATAAAAGAGGTGACATGACAATATACAAGGTCACAGAGATGATATAACCATAAACAAAGGTCATAAATAGGTGACATGACCATTGTTTATGGTTATACAAAAAAGCCCCCATAACAGTTCAAGCTTCAGGGCCCCAAAAATGTAGGTCCGCTACTGAATGGGAGGTAATAAAATTTGATCCAAGGAAGGAAAGTGCAGCCTTGATTATTTGAATTAAAAGCATTCACCAGCCATCAAATAAATCCCCTCTGAAGCTACACCTTACCCGAGCCAAAGCTTGGAACCCGTTGTCGGTAAACTGTGAACAGGCAGCTACTTCCAGAGTTTCTAGGTGGGCACAGTGTTGAGACACCACCAGTAAGCTGGTGTCTGTCAAGTGCATGCAATTACTCAAACACAGGTAACGGATCATCAAACAGTTCTCTGCCAGCGCTACCACACCTCTGTCACTGATTGCCTGTAACAGAGAAGAATGTATTTACAAACCTTATTAAACGTACAGTAATTCTTTAAACAATTAAACTTGATAAAAGCCATAGAGCACGTACCAATAGGATATTCAATTCTTGTGTATATATATTGTAACTCCTAAATTTATATTTACAACCACCTAAGAGACTATATATAAAACCACTCAATTAGCCATTGTCTTATTAATCTAAAGTTAGTCTTAAGTTTGCTCGAAACGCCCCAGCACGATAATGGCTTTCCCAATATGTTCTGCATAACCATGAGCTTTCTGCATGTACAACCAAATGTCACCCATCCCTGTAGAAACAACTGTACAGTGCGAAAATAAATTTCTGACATATCCATCCTGTGGTTGGTACTCAAAAGATTACAGAGGCATATATGGTATTACAGAAAATTTGAGATTTAATGGACACCAATTTAACAGACTTTGGAAACAATAAAATCTACTGGATCAATTAATTATGTGGTAATAACTGAATGAAAAAATTGTGTGATGGTTTAAATCATTGTAAACATGTTCACCTAAAAAACAAAAATGCATCGTGTCATAGGCAAAATCATCATCAAACATCATCCCATCACAACATCATCCTCCACCATCATCACACCCACCATCACTTCCCCATCAACCACAGCATCACCTCCCCCAATCATCCACCACACCATCACTTCCCCATCACCAACATCACCTCCCATCAGCACACCAACCCCCCATCACACACCATCACCTCCCCATCAACCACACCATCCTTCCCCATCAACCACACCATCACCCCCATCAACCATACCATCACCTCCCCATCAACTACACCATCACCCCCACCAACCACAAAGATGACAACTCACTGAGCAACCATGTAGGTTGATGTGTTCCAGATCTTTACAGTACTGTGCAAGAGATATGAGAGCAGGATCTGTGAGGGCTTTCAACCCCTTCCCCACAAAACCTTTCAACTTAGGGCAACCGTGAGCCAACGCATCCACTCCTGAAAGCAAAACAACAAATTAATAAATACTGCCATTGCATTCTTAAGTTAGACCTAAGCTTTCTCAAAATGCTCTGTGTAGCAATGGACTTTCTGCATGCACAACTAATAATAAAACAACAACAACAACAATAATAATAATAATAATAATAATAATAATAATAATAATAATAACAAAAAAAAGGCACAATACCGTGACTGGAACGATACACAAATAACCTGCACATAGAAGAGAGGAGCTTACGACGACGTTTCGGTCCGACTTGGACCATTGACAAAGTTGAATAATAATAATAATAATAAATCTTTATTTCTACAAGTACACATACAAGTACGTACATCTACAAACATTGTATCATGCTGAAATAAAATTATTATTATTATTATGATTACTATTATTTTTTTTTTTAACACGTCAACCGTTTCCCACCGAGGCAAGGTGACCCAAAAAGAAAGAAAAAAAAAAAACTTCCATCATCATTCAACATTTTCACTGTCATTCATACATAATCACTGTCTTTGCAGAGGCACTCATATACGACAGTTTGGACATCCCTCCAAACTGCCAATATCCTAAACCCCTTCTTTAAATTATAGGCATTGTATTTCCCATTTCCAGGACTCAAGTCCAGCTAACCAGTTTCCCCAAATCCCTTCACAAAATACTATTACCCTGCTCATACTCCAACAGCTCGTCAGGTCCCAAAAAATATTAGTCTCCATTCACTCCTATCTAACACATTTACACGCGCTTGCTGGAAGTCCAAGCCCCTTACCCACAAAACCTCCTTTACCTCCTCCCTCCAACCTTTTTGGGGGCTGACCCCTACCCCACCTTCCTTCCCCAACAGATTTATATGCTCTCCAAGTCATTCTACTTTGTTCCATTCTTTTAAATGACCAAACCACCTCAACAGCCCCTCTTCAGCCCTCTGACTAATACTTTTAGTAACTCCACACCCCCTCCTAATTTCCACACTACAAATTCTCTGCATAATATTTACACTACACACTGCCCTTAGACATGATGTCTCCACTGCCTCCAGCTGCCTCCTCGCTGCAGCATTTACAACCCCTGCATCATACCCATATAAGAGTGTTGGTACCACTATATTCTCATACATTCCCTTCTTTGCCTCCATGGATAACGTTGTCTCCACAGATACCTTAATGCACCACTCACCTTTTTTCCTTCATCAATTCTATGGTTTACCTCATCCTTCATAAACCCATCTGCTGATAAGTCAATTCCCAAATATCTAAAAACATTCACTTCTTCCATACTCCCTTCCTCCAATGTGATATCCAATTTGTCTTTATCTAAATCGTTTGATACTCTCATCACCTTACTCTTATTTATATCCACTTTCAACTTTCTACCTTTACACACCCTCCCAAACTCATCCACTAACCTTTGCAGATTTTCTTTAGAATCTCCCATAAGCACAGTATCATCAGCAAAAGGTAACTGTGTCAACTCCCATTCTGTATTTAATTCCCCATAAGTTAATCCCACCCCTCTCCCCAACATCCTAGCATTTACTTCTTTTACAACCCCATCTATAACTATGTTGAACAACCATGGTGACATTACACATCCCTGTCCAAGACCTACTTCTACTGGGAAGTGATCTCCCATTCTCCTATGCACCCTAACCTGAGCCTCACTATCCTCATAAAAACTCTTTACAGCATTTAGTAACTTACCACCTACTACATACACTTGCAACATCTGCCACATTGCTTCCCTATCCACACTGTCATATAAGAATAAGATAAGATTTCGTTCGGATTTTTAACCCCGGAGGGTTAGCCACCCAGGATAACCCAAGAAAGTCAGTGCGTCATCGAGGACTGTCTAACTTATTTCCATTGGGGTCCTTAATCTTGTCCCTCAGGATGCGACCCACACCAGTCGACTAACACCCAGGTACCTATTTGCTGCTAGGTGAACAGGACAACAGGTGTAAGGAAACGTGTCAAATGTTTCCACCCGCCGGGAATCGAACCCGGGCCCTCCGTGTGTGAAGCGGGAGCTTTAGCCACCAGGCCACCGGGCCTTTTCTAAATCCATAAACGCAATGAAAACTTCTTTACCTTATCTAAATATTGTTCACGTATATGCTTCACTGTAAACACCTGATCTACACATCCCCTATCCATTCTAAAGCCTCCTTGCTCATCCGAAATACTGCTCTCTGTCTTACCTCTAATTCTTTCAATAATAACTCTACCATACACTTTATCTGGTATACTCAGTAAACTTATTCCCCTATAATTTTTACAATCTCTTTTGTCCCCCTTCCCTTTATATAAAGGGATTATACCTGCTCTCTGCCAATCCTTAGGTACCTTCCCCTCTTTCATACATTTATTAAACAAAAATACCAACCACTCCAACACTATATCCCCCCTGCTTTTAACATTTCTGTCATGATCCCGTCAGTTCCAGCTGCTTTACCCTCTTTCATTCTATGTAATGCCTCACGCACCTCCACCACACTCACATCCTGCTCTTCTCCACTCCTAAAAGATGTTATACCTCCCTGACCAGTGCATGAAATTACTGCCTCCTTCATTGACATTTAAAAGTTCCTCAAAGTATTCCAGCCATCTACCCAATACCTCCAGCTTCCCATCTACTAACTCCCCTACTCCGTTTTTAACTGACAAATTTATTATTGTTATTATTATTATTGTTATTCTTATTATAAATTAAGTATGTTACCCCACTGACCAAAGGTCATAATTTCACATGAAATTCTAGTGGGAATAACACATTCAGGTAGCCAAAAATTTATTAAAACTTGCTGTAATTTACTTACCTATACATGTTTAATAAAGTTGTAATACTGTAACTGGACCTCATTATTAAATAATTTTGTAAAAGATAAGGGAAGTTTATGAATTCTTGTAGTTGATAAATGAGTGACATGTGCAACATTTGGGTATCTTTATTCTGGAAATGTTTTGCCAGCTAGTGGCTTCTACAGTCCAATACAGAGAAAGGTGGAAGATGAGGAGTTTGAGGTGATCAGTCCCTCAGCCTGGAGTCGATGTGTTCAGTCTGAGAGACTGAACACACCGACTCCAGGCTGAAGGACTGGTTACCTCACTCATTATTATAATCAAAACTAAGTGATAAACCACCAGGGTCATACAGCGCTGCAGGGTAGAGGTTGTAAGGTCACTAAGTGATAAACCACCAGGGTCATACAGCGCTGCAGGGTAGAGGTTGTAAGGTCACTAAGTGATAAACCACCAGGGTCATACAGCGCTGCAGGGTAGAGGTTGTAAGGTCACTAAGTGATAAACCACCAGGGTCATACAGCGCTGCAGGGTAGAGGTTGTAAGGTCACTAAGTGATAAACACCAGGGTCATACAGCGCTGCAGGGTAGAGGTTGTAAGGTCACTAAGTGATAAACCACCAGGGTCATACAGCGCTGCAGGGTAGAGGTTGTAAGGTCACTAAGTGATAAACCACCAGGGTCATACAGCGCTGCAGGGTAGAGGTTGTAAGGTCACTAAGTGATAAACCACCAGGGTCATACAGCGCTGCAGGGTAGAGGTTGTAAGGTCACTAAGTGATAAACCACCAGGGTCATACAGCACTGCAGGGTAGAGGTTGTAAGGTCACTAAGTGATAAACCACCAGGGTCATACAGCGCTGCAGGGTAGAGGTTGTAAGGTCACTAAGTGATAAACCACCAGGGTCATACAGGCTGCAGGTAGAGGTTGTAAGGTCACTAAGTGATAAACCACCAGGGTCATACAGCGCTGCAGGGTAGAGGTTGTAAGGTCACTAAGTGATAAACCACCAGGGTCATACAGCGCTGCAGGGTAGAGGTTGTAAGGTCACTAAGTGATAAACCACCAGGGTCATACAAGCGCTGCAGGGGAGAGGTTGTAAGGTCACTAAGTGATAAACCACCAGGGTCATACAGCGCTGCAGGGTAGAGGTTGTAAGGTCACTAAGTGATAAACCACCAGGGTCATACAGCGCTGCAGGGTAGAGGTTGTAAGGTCACTAAGTGATAAACCACCAGGGTCATACAGCGCTGCAGGGTAGAGGTTGTAAGGTCACTAAGTGATAAACCACCAGGGTCATACAGCGCTGCAGGGTAGAGGTTGTAAGGTCACTAAGTGATAAACCACCAGGGTCATACAGCGCTGCAGGGTAGAGGTTGTAAGGTCGGTATAGTGCTAAAGGAAGTTTTTTTTTTTTTTTTTTTCAACAAGTCGGCCGTCTCCCACCGAGGCAGGGTGACCCAAAAAAGAAAGAAAATCCCCAAAAAGAAAATACTTTCATCATCATTCAACACTTTCACCACACTCGCACATTATCACTGTTTTTGCAGAGGTGCTCAGAATACAACAGTCTAGAAGCATACACATATAAAGATACACAACATATCCCTCCAAACTGCATGTATAATTAAAGGTTATGTAATAAATCGGTTGCTTTCAAAAAGTCAGAGAGAGTCTGTGTCAGAGGTGGGGCCATTAGCGAGGAGGAAAGGTAAAGTAAGGGCGTTAGGGCTGTGATGACGTCAGAGACAAATTCTGCATGGTCATTGACAAACTGAACAGTTTAACAGAATATGGCAAACTGAAATTGGAACCTGACAATTCGCACAGAGTGGAACTGGGCATGAGTGACTCCTGCCAGTATCCTGATGATGCAATGAGAAGTGTGAAGGTACTTGAGATAAACACTTTCACCCCCAGTGGCTTGTCGTGAATTTACTACATATAAACTACACATTGCAGACTACACAAAGAAATAAAGTCGCTTCTTTCAATATACTGTATCTTGCACATACAGAATTACTGATAGAAATGTTGTTACATAATAGTGAATTTACATAGAGTGACAGAGGCCTATAGTACATAATATCTACAGCTGTAAAAGCTAAATTTCTAGTTAATATAGAAATTACTTAGATATGTTTATATTTGGTGGTAAGGCAGCTACTGAGCTATGAGAGCGAAACAAGAC